GGACTAGTCTAGTAATCTACTGCTTGTAACCATCTATATCAACCGAGTTATCAATAAAGTAATAACGCACCGTGTGACTACATCTGTTGCTAAATTTATGAAAAACAAATAAACAAAAAATCATGAACGACTGTTTGCAATGATTAATATTCCCAAATCATAATCATAAGAAATAATATAAAAATTTCCAGGAGGTTCACAAATTTCTCTAAATTAAAAACCAAATTAATTCGACAAACTTCAATAACATTACTCAAACGAAGCATTACGTCATTCAAAATGTCCTGAAACACTTTGAAAACACGACGTAAATCCGAAAACCTGAAGAAAACAGAAGAAAAACTGATAAACAAAGAGATTCACTGATCTCAAACCTTATCACAAACACGCAAATTTCACCACTAAACAAACACACGCGATAGCACTTCCACTCCGAGAGCCATCCGAAAAAAGCCACCGGAACATTCCTTACTTTACAAAATAACTCGAACACGAAAACAAAACAGAAAAAAAAACTCGGCAAAACTCAAGCCCGAGAGAGTGAACACGTGTTTTGATCTCGTCCATTATCTCCAAGTCTTCCATCCTTACCACTTCCGATCAAGAGCTCTTTCATAGGTCGATTCCCGTATTCAGATCTCGCAAAATCATGGGTTAACCGGCTTAAAATGCATAAAATACATATGTGATTCTTATCGTGCGAGCTCCTGCGTCCGCCATTACTCGGGCTCTGACGCTGATCAACAACACTGCGTCCGGATGTGCTGTTGGATTATTTTTGAGAATCTTATCGACGATATTCCGAACGGTGCGATTATTTGTTGATTTGTGTTATTCCCGTCTGTTAATCGGATATATCGATAGTTGGAATGGATAAGTGATAAAGACGAAAGATATGAGTTATTTCGGAAATTCAAGTCGAAGTCACAGTCGGACATGTCCAGCCGATAAGCTTGCGCCGCGTTCATTAAAAACCGCGTGACATAATTTTTAAAAGAATTTTACCTCATAAATAACAGCGTGACACAAAGGTACGCATATGCATTCCTCCCATTAGTGATTAATTTACAAAGTTTGCTTAATTCACAGCGTAACGAAAGGAGAGGCATTGCATTTTCGTCTTTCCTTTTTTTAAATGGCGAATTGCGTCCGTGTTTTAATACCCCCTCACCCCCCCCCCCCTCTCTCTCTCTCTCTCTCTCTCTCTCTCTCTCTCTCTCTCTCTCTCTCTCTCTCTCTCTCTCTCTCTCTCTCTCTCTCTCTCACTCTCTCTCGCTTTCCCCCCCTTCTCTCTCTGTCTCTGTCTCTCCCTCTCTCTCCCTCGCTCTCTCTCTCTCTCTCTCTCTCTCTCTCTCTCTCTCTCTCTCTCTCTCTCTCTCTCTCTCTCTCTCTCTCTCTCTCTCTCTCTCTCTCTCTCTCTCTCCCTCTCCGCTAAGACAGTCTTTTCCCTTTCCCCAGGGCACAAATATGTACATACCTCAGTGCGGAAATTATATTCATTTCCAAACCTAAAACTCGATTTGTATTTTCACTTCAATAATTCCTCTTAAAATCTGGTGCATACAGGATGGGAATCAGTAATTATAAGCATTTTAATCATATATATTCCTTACTTAAACTATAAAATACACCAATCCATGCATTTCTTCAAACACAATGGACACGAAAAAATTAAGAAAACATAAGAATTAAAAAAAACTGCACAGCTATGCTTGTGACGCATTTTGATAACCATTATCAACATGACACTATCACATACTCATAGGGTTTTCATAACGCCTCTAAAAAGCGTGCAGTGAGTCAGTGATGAATGCCATGACAAAAAAAAAAACAAGTGAGTTGGTTATTGATGTACTGAACCGTGACTTATTTATGGTGGAATGACTAACCACTTTGAGTAATGTGTCTATTGATATAACTTGTTGCGATAGATTTGCCCTTGATTTTTATGCGGTGGTGGCGTATGAGTCGATGGCGTGACAACTAAATTTACATGTGGCGAATGATCTTCAGTTATTTTAAATCGGTTAATGTGTAGTAAGAATATAGGAAATGTGTTTGTAGACTAGATGGAATGGAGTTAATGTAGAAAGGAATTCTAATATCCCTCCCCCTGTCGTGTTTTATTTATTTTTTTGTCACGTGTTTTGCTGCTTCGAAAAAAAATACGATAAACGTAATAGCAAATAAAAACATGATGACGATAAAAACGAAATCTATACAACAAAGCATCAAATATCATAGTAATAAATCTTGCCTGATCATATATTCCGATCCTTCCGTAACACCTGACATTTAATGCAAAAACTGGACAGTAATGTATAAAAGTGAATAAGACCATGAATGTGTGAATAAAACTGGTTGAAACCTTTTTTTCCCCGATGGTAAAACTAAAATGTTTTTGATAAAAGCGACGATGATTGACAGTGATGATAACGATAAACGAGAAAGAGAGACAGAAACATAGATATACTAATTGAGAGTTTGTAGATGCACACGGAGATTGTGACAGAGATAAAGAGGTGACCGAAAGACGATGTAGAATAGATGGACACGAAGATAAACCGAGAACAGAAGGATGTCAAGATAAAAGGGGAGAGGCAAATGCGAAAGAATACAAAAAGACAACAAAAAAAAAAAAAACAAAGAAATAAAGAGAACCAAGATACAGACAATACCAAAGGAAGAGAAAACAAAAAGACAAATGTATAGATACAAATAAGCAGACCGGGAAAAGGCCGCTAAACAAAAGAAGTGGGAAGAGAAAGGCCTAACACGTAACAGTCACCCATCTTCCCAAACCGACGAATCACTCGATCAACCTGCGATCGGCGATTAGCTCACACCCGTTTCCCTCGCAGAGTAAAAAGACACGGTGGGGATAGAGCCTCATGTTAACAACAACCCGGTAAATTGATTAGAAGTTGGAACATAGCAACGGACCAGTCATGCGAATGTTGAATAAGAATAGAGAGAGAGAAGGGGGAAAAAAGAGAGAAAGAGATATAGAAAAAAGTCTTTTTGCGCATACCGCTAGAAATCCAGTTCCTAGCAGGCCATAAACTGTTGCTGCTGCGGTAAGGCTGGGTGGGTCTCCTGCCTGCGGTAACTGCGGTCGTACGAAGGTTAATTATAATACGTACCTGACTTGTTGGGGCTGACTCCCTCGCCTGAGTTATGAGGGCTCGTGCTGACTTCACTCCTTGTGATGAAATGTGATGAGTCGTTCAAGTGAAAAAGGATGACATAATGGTTTCTATTTAGGTTTATTTTTGTTATCTTTTATTTATTCTTTTTTTGGATCCAGTGTGGCTGATTGTGTTTGATTTAAAAGGTTAGCGCATGAGTTGTGATGACTTCTAGAGTTACGAGACAATCAGAATAGAGTTTTAAATTATTCTTTCTAAAGAATCACTGTTCACATGTATATGTTTACACATCTAATTGATTCTCTGTCTGTCCGCTCATCATATTTAGCAATAGATGACAGATACCCGCGCACTGTATCGTATAGGGCGATGCTGTAATGGCTGACCGAAGCGCCGGGAGCGTCTGCTGTCATTTCTTCTTGCTGACTCAAAATTCCTCGTCCTCCGCGCTTCTGCCTTTGTGTTGAGCTTCCTCAATCGAGCAAGATTTTTACGACTCTACTGCAGTGTGTTGGTCGTAATCTGCCGGGCCGATTTCTCTGAAATTAACATGATTTCTTTATTGCGCTCCGCCAGGACTTGCCAAACCAGTCTCGCATGTTCCTATACACAGGCAAAATGACCTATAATTTTCATGCACTTTCTAAGACGGCCTACAATGTTTTCTAGATTTTGCAGAAGTGATAAAAGCATCATCTTGGACTTACGCGTTTATGATTTTGATCGGGATTATATATTTAGCTAATTTGATACTTTATTGTATGCTCTTTGGTTTACCTGCCATTTTGGTCGTGTTAGTTGATATAATTATCGTTAATAACACAGGACTTGATATAACTACTTTATTTTAACACATCTGTAATATTTTGACATGCTCTGTCTACTATCTATTTTGACACGTTCTATCATTCCAAACGCGCTATAAAATTGCTCGAACTAATCTAAACTTCAACATATCACACTGTCTTAGCGGCAATTTCACCTCTCGTCCAAATTTCAAAACCTATCTCACTAGACTGATACTAAACAGTTTCATTGTGGCAAAATGTAATAAAACAACAACAACAACAAAAAACTAAAACAAAATAAACTACGAATGAGAACAAATAACTCCACAAAGGAGATGTATTTGACGCACATGTATTTCTGACGGAGATACAACCGAAACTTGTAATACCTCTCTTCCTCTACCAAGTTTTTTTATCCAAGCTAACATCCTTCCAAAAAAAATATCTTTTCGATCCTTTTACTTCTTTTATTTCTATAAAGATACAAAAGGCCGAAATAGATTGAAAGATGTCCGGCTGCATATATTTAAGACGCTGTTAACATACTCCTACACTCACTCGTTAACCCGCATACCTCTGCCTTTCCTGCGACAACTGGTCATACTTCCAGAATATGATTCGGTACCTTGTATGATCGTTATATAAGTATATGTGTACTTGTTAAATAAGCATATGTGTATCATGTTTCATCGACTACACAAGTGATTATGTTGAATAAGAGTGTAGAATGTATGTATTTTTTTGTTATTAATCTGTTGAATTTTCTGACGCAAGATGGCGATAAAGGTAAAGCGAAATGACAAGGAAAAGAGGAAGAAGAAGAAGAGGTGGTTGTATCTGAAGAAGGAAATGATGATGAAGAAGGAGGAGGAAGAAAGGGTAGGTGGAAGAAGTGCATGCAGGCACGTGCACACACGCACACGCCCAGGCATACGCACACGCACATACATACACTCACACACACACACACACACACACACACACACACACACACACACACACACACACACACACACACACACACACACACATACACACACACATACACACACACATACACGCACACGCACACGCACACGCACACGCACATACACATACACACGCGTGCACACGCATACGCACACACACATACACATACACATACACATACACACACACACACACACACATACACACGTGTGTGTATGTATATGTGTGAGTGTGTATTTATGTGTGTGTGTCTATCTATCTATCTATCTATACCTAACTCTCTCTCTCTCCCTCTCTCTCTCTCTCTCTCTCTCTCTCTCTCTCTCTCTCTCTCTCTCTCTCTCTCTCTCTCTCTCTATATATATATATATATATATATATATATATATATATATATATATATATATATATATATATATATATACATATATATATATATATATACATATATATATACATATATATATATATATATATATATATATATATATATATATATATATATATATATACATATATATATATACATATACATACATATATTTATTTATGTTTATATATATATATATATATATATATATATATATATATATATATATATATATATATTTCTCTCTCTCTCTCTCTCTCTCTCTCTCTCTCTCTCTCTCTCTCTCTCTCTCTCTCTCTCTCTCTCTCTCTCTCTCTCTCTCTCTCTATATATATATATATATATATATATATATATATATATATATATATATATATATATACATGTATATACATATATACATATATATATATATATATATATATATATATATATATATATATATATATATAT